TGACATTGTGCATTTGCGAGCACCGTAAAACACTTTAAAAAAACAAAACAACAACAACAAGGAAACCTCTTCCAGTTCGGGTTTCCGCCGTGATCCAATTATCCAACAACGAGAAGTTGAAGAAACATCTACGTTACGTAAAATCTTAAAACAATTTTCGTAGCTCGCAGCTCCCCGAAGTTCTCATTTAAAGACCTCATAAACCATACCTCCTGAACTCATTTCGAGCTGCAGTGTTGTGTGAATCGCATTCTTGCCTAGCTCCGCGAATTATTTGTTGTCAGCCTCACCAGTTAAAAGAAATAAATAACGTTGTGTGTTTATATTTTCGAAATACCTGAATGTAAGTTGAATCATGTGTAAATGCAAGGCACACGAAGACAGAGGCGTATCTCATAAGGTATGGCAGTTAGGGCACGGGGCCCTGCGAGCCACTTGAGGTGTGCGCGCGCGCGCGCGTGTGTGTGTGTGTGTGTGTGTGTGTGTGTGTATGTGTGTATGAGTGTGTTTGTGTGTGTGTTGGCGGGGCGGGGGGGGGGAGGTGAGGGGATAAAGAGGAGAAAGATTGTGTTTCCACTCACGCCAGAAATAAATGAAGACGAGTCTCATATTTTCTCTTTTGTTGATGACCTCAAATACATAACAGAAACTGTTGTAGAGTACACTTGACTCCCCCACACAAAAATAAAATAAAAAATCACCTACCACACACGCACAGACACATACAAACAAACACACTCACACACACACATATATATGTATATATATATATATATATATATATATATATATATATATATATATATATATATATATATATATATATACACACGTTCATAACATACACATGCATCTGCTGTGCAAGGTAACTTTCTTCTTTCTTTTCTCTCTCTCTCTCTCTCTCTCTCTCTCTCTCTCTCTCTCTCTCTCTCTCTCTCTCTCCCTCTCTCTCCCTCTCTCCCCCTTCCCTCTCTCTTTTTCGCTCATCTCTCTTTCTGCTTTTCTTTTTTTCCCGTCAGATACAAAGTTCCTTCTCTTTTTTACTTACTCCTGCTCTTTTTGTTTTCTCTTTCTCCTTTACTCTTCAGTCAGGCGTACTCTCTCATTTTGTCTGTCTGTCTGTCTGTCTGTCTGTCTGTCTGTCTGTCTGTCTGTCTGTCTGTCTGTCTGTCTGTCTGTCTGTCTGTTTGTCCCTTTCTCTCTCTCTCTCTCTCTCTCTCTCTCTCTCTCTCTCTCTCTCTCTCTCTCTCTCTCTCTCTCTCTCTCTTATGCGTATTGTCTATCAGTAAGTGTAAGACATACAATACTTCAACTGACTTCTACTCCTTGCAAACATATTAAGTTTCTTGTTTCTAGATTTTACCTCTTGACATACGAGTCACCATAGCGTGGTAGGCCTTGTATTTGATTCGACAGAGGTATGAGCCAAAGAATGTATAATTTTGTTCCCCATTTCTATTTAGAAACAATTAATCTTAGCTCACGATTTGAAAGTGTTTAGGTATCGAATTGATTTGCATTTTTTTTTTTTAGAAAACGGGTTTTCTATATAGAAGAAGAAGAAGAAGAAGAAGAAGAAGAAGAAGAAGAAGAAGAAGAAGAAGATTATCATTTTTGATCAAGAAGAAGAAGATGTCCTCCAAGCAATAGAAACCTTTCTTCTCCCTCACAAAAAGAAGAAAAAGAAACTCCGTCAAGTTAGAAGGACATGCTGTCGTATTTTCAGGATTGGGAGGGTATCACCATGACAGATAACGGAGAAAAGGAAGAACAGTCACAGAACACTACTATTCGGGTAGCTGATAAAAATGCAGTACAACTTTGAGGAGAAAAAGGTTGGAAAAA